CCTACACAGCATGTGAGTGTGAAGACTGAATGCACACAACCCAGGTGCTGGGACTCCTAAGCCAAGATGTTAACATCCAAACTAGCAGGACCAGGGAAACTCCTGGGGTCCTGGCAGAACAAATGCAAAAGTGATATAAGAACATACCCACAACCCCTAGTATATCAAATCCCACAGTAAAGACAAGACAAAAAATAAACCACATGAGAAAATGAACCACATAAAGGTGAGTCAATAGACACAAAAAATGGGAGACCTGGTACACTTGGAACTAAAAATCACTGAACAACCTGAAAGACGATATAAAATAAACACAATCAATATAATTAGGAAGATAAAAGAAAAATAAATCATAATGAAAGACTAGTACACCACAAAATAACAGACTGATTTTTTTTGAAGCATCAAACACAACTTTTGAAAATTAAAAATAAAAACTAAAAACTCACATTGGGAAGGGATATTAACAGCAGATTATAAACTGCTACAAGGAGATTAAACTGACAGATATTTTTGAGGCAGTGTCTGAGAATATGGCACTGGCAAATAAGGAGATGAAAAAAAGAAAAGAAAGATTAAATAAGATGGTGGATTTCTAAAAGGAATTCCAGAAGGAGATTTGAGAGAAACAAAGAGACAACAGATAAGAATTTCCAAATGAGTGTAGTTTAGGACTACACTGAGTCCTAAACAATAGACATAAAAGTGAATCCAATCCATTCAGACATAATGTAGTAAAACTGTAGAACAACAAAGATAAAAAATAAGGTCTCAAAAGCAACTGGAATGAAAAGGCAAACGAGCTCATTCAGGCTGCAGAGAGGATAGACTGGAGGTCAACCAGTGAACAACAGGGAGAACAATTTGCAAAGTAGCTCCACAATCCTGGCAGTGAAGATGGCGGTGGCAGTGGAGATGGAGAGATGGAAGCCTTCTGGACAAAGTTCTTTGTCTGTGAAGGTCACCACCATCCACACAGTTGCTCCAAAGTCAGAAGCTTTTCTCATTGTTACTTCCACAGTGCTCGATTCTTACCACCGCCAAAGTGTACTTCATCTTAGAGGGTGCTGGAGTGTACTTTACTATTTACAGAAACCTCTTCAGGCCATGGAATGGGGCTAATTTATCTGTGTCTCCCTAGCAAGATTTTGTACAGAGCAGAGGTTTAACAGATGTTTAACTGAATTATCACAAGTCACTTAATCACTCTTTTAGGCCTTGTTCCTTGCCCTGTGAAGAGACCTCCAAACCCTAATTTGAGAAAAATTAATCAGTCCTAGATTTACTGGATTTAATATTAAAAGCAGGTAAATTTTTCTGCAACAAAGAAAAGGAAGGTGGCCCTTGGATCCATGGACAGCGATCGATGGCACTTCTCAGGGGTAGGGGGAAGTAAGTCCTCACTCTTCTTAGATGCAAATGTGAACAAATTTCAGGAGGTTGACAGTATAATTTGGGGTAAGGAGCTTTACTAATCTAAACAAAGACATAACAGGATCATTTCTTTCTTTCAATGACCTTAAAGTTTTAAGAATGTTTACCCAAGAGTTGTGCCTCTAACTCAAGAAAAGGCAGGGTCCAAGTCCCACCAGAGATGAACAAGTCCAAGGGCCTATCCTCCCTGGAGCTCAGAGGCAGAGATTAGCCCCTGTATGTGGAATGACATAAAGCCAAGGATTAGGGCTACCAGGATGTTCCAGGGAAGGAAGCTGATAAGAGAATCCAGAAAATACAAAAGAAGAGTACCCATTTTTCAGGCCATTCCATTTGAAAGGAAAGATCATTTGGGAGAACTGTCCAACAGCCTCAGCACTTATTCAGGACTTTTTTTGCTGACAGATTGAATTTGGCAAACAGAGATGAATACTAAAATGATTACGAATTATACTGCAGGGAATACTCAGAAGAGAAGAGCAGTAGTTTCAATACCTAGTCGTACCAAATTAATATTCAAGCTAGTTTTTTTCCATAAGTAGAATCTCATCTCTCTGCTGCTGTTGCCTTTATGTTACTTGGCACGAGACAACATGGGTCCCTTAGGGCCAGTGCTGAATATGCTCATTTCCTGAATGCCACTATTACACCAATATTTGGATTTAGACATTCTAGGGGAAATAACTCTAAAAGGAAACAAAGGAACACAGACAAGGCAGAGTCTGGGGACGAGGAGAAACCATAGTCAGAATACATGCTCCTCCATGCTTTACTTCACAATTCACCAGTGGAGAGGAGTCTGCCTTTGGACAGACAACTGAGGGCTGTCAATGGCATGTGAGGCAGTCTCTTCCCTAATCATTGCACTGTAGCCCTGCTGGCCCTGGGGAAACAGAAAGAAGTCACGAGCTGACTTTTCTGCTTGGGAAAGAGAGGCAACGGATACTTTCTGTGGGCAATTTATATGTGAAGCTGGTGAAGATGCATTTTTTTTTTTTTTTAAGAAAGCAGGATTTATTGAGACGACAGAAAAACTCCCACAGAGGGAAGGGACCTGAGAGGGTTGCCTGATAATGCATTTTAACATAACATCTTTGCCAGAGGGGTACTATTAGATCTAGTATTTTGAACAGATAAAGAAACCCGAGGCTTAGAAAGATTACGGAAGTTGTCTAAAGATTGAGAATGAACCCCAAGACTGATTATTATAATCAGTCTTAAAGAGAGATGTCTTTAAGGCATTTGATCATACTTTTCTAGATTGTGGCTCCTATCTAATTTTTTGCACAAAACCTTTCTTTTACAGGTCTTGGGGGAGCAAAGCTTGTCTATATTTATAACCCCTCAATTATTTTCTTACATTGCTTGCTCTGATAGTATGATATTGGGAGCTATGGACAGACCAAGACACAGAGCTAGGCCATTTTCTCCTCTCTTAGTCAAAGACAACCTAAGCTGTTGCCACTAGATATCTAAGAAATAAACTTAAAGGATGGAGGGTTGGTGCCCTTCTCCCACTAAACAAAAACTCTGTGGTCTTTTTTTCAAAGAGCAACAAGTCAGGCCAGACTTGTTGCTAAAGAATGCTTGGTCAATCTTTCCTATTATTAATTAGGGGTACCTGATAGCCTACTATGACATCCTCCTAAAGACAAATGACAAAGAGTAATAATAATGCCTGGAAGGTAATTGGAATGGAGATGTGATCATGAGGTACCCAGTAATTAGCTTCTGCTATAACAGAGCAAGAGTTCTTGAGGAAGACATGAGTTTCTCCTCTTAAAGGCAATGTACAGTTCTATTGGCATATGTCTATGTGTTTCCCTTCACTGGATGAAATTGAATAGCTTGGATATTTAAACACTGTATTCAAGTCTAGGTTGAGATTACCCTTGCCACTGACTAGAGTTTCTAAGAGCAGCAACTTGAGACCATTGTCTTCCATTTGTTCTTTCCTCAGAGTAAATGTGATAATGTTGATTCTGCTTCTCATAGCTGTGGCAAGTTACCTTGAGCAAGTTAATTTAGCTCCTTAGGCCTCAGCTTCTGCAAATTGTATTCTGCAAATACAACAATAATAAAAGAACACACCTTTGGTTGTTACAAGGATTAAATGGGATGACAAACGTAAAGTCCCCTGTACTGTACCTAACACATAGTAGGTGCTCAATGGTAGCTGCTATTATCATTATCATCCTCATCTTCATCATGAGGGCACATTACCTGTGCCTCACTCACTACCACTTTTACTGTCTCACAAACAAAAATGTACAGACAAGGAGGCAATCTGTGATGAAGAAAGGAAGTGATATAGAATTATGCCAGGTGCCACCTTTCCAACAAGGCCATCAATTTAAATCTCTGTAACTACCCACAAATTCCCCTGCTATAAAATTCACAAGGTAGACAATAACAACAAATCCAGAAACACAAGTACAGCCAGACAGTGAGTAGAGAACTGCAACAAAAGAATGAGCAGGCACATGACTGAAGACCAAAAGTGGGTGGGTCTAGAGGACAGCTGGGGCATGGAAGGAAGGTCTGCCTTGGAATCTCCTTTTTTCCTCCCAGGAATTAAACTTTTAATTTGTGCAACTCAGATTTTATCAGAACAACATAGAGACTCCCAGAAATGTAGAACATAAACATTTCCTCCTTTTTCCATGCCTCATCTCTTCTTGTCCATCCCCATCCTCCAACTCAAAATAAGTTGGGTTCCTGGGTTATATTTCACTAGGTGCTAAAGAGCAGGAAATATTCCCCAAGGATTTGTGTGCCCTTCCCATAGGGGTGTTTTGAAAATATGACAAATAACATAATTATAGGTTAGTCTATTGGGCATCATACTTGGGTCACTATTAAACTGCTTTTGTCTTAGAAATGTGGTGTCCCTTCTACTCATTTCTCTCTTCTTACAGTGCAAGGCAGCCAGAGCTCTCAGTTTAAACAGGTAGACTCTCATTACATTTTAGGGCTACAGGAGAACTGGTGAGCATTCTGAGATTCTTCAAAGTGATAGCTCTCTCACTGGCAAAGGCCTTTGGTGGTATTGTTTCTATGAAAAAATATGTTTCAAGCAGAATCTCAAGATAACCAAAGATCTTAAAAGTCCTCCAGAGCTAATGCCTAGTTGATATATATGTATGACAAGTGGCTTCTTAGTTTCAGTCAAGACCCTTTGGTGGAAAAAAGGAGATTCCAAGAATTTACTCTCTCCCATGACCTAAGTGCTTACTAAAATTTGATGTATAAATATATGGAGTGGCAATATATTTATTACATCCAGTTCCACAACAGAATTTTATCCTTAAATCTAATAGACAGCTGCCTCTGAAATCTACCTCAAACACATCACAACTTCTCCTATACAAGTATTCCAAGTCCTATACTTAGGAGCAAAGAGATCTTACAGGAGAAATTATGCCAGTTATTTTCTAGTACAGTAACAAGAAGTATGATTCCCTTCATTAGAACCTCTTAGCAAGGGAAACCCAGTGTCAGAAAGCCCATAGGTACCACTGCTACACAACATGTGAGGTGACACTGTTTCCCACTGTATGACTTACTTGTTGCTGTCACGGTACTCATAGATGTGACATCCTTGAGGCAATCCAGTCTTATGGTCCAGAGTAAAAGCAAGCTTTAGCTGAATAGAGAGGAGAAAAATAAGCTTTAGGAAATAGGCTCTATTCATTCCAACAGTTGAAATTAAAAAACAAAAACTCAAAGTCATACTTTCTCCAGCTGATGTATTGTGGAGAACCTGGGCCTGCCTGATCTGGGAAGAGTCCACACCTAACAGTCACCCTCTTGTCAATGAGGACTATTACCAGGACTCTATTTGTCCCTTCGGCATGCAACCAATGCATTGAATAAGCACCACTCTATGCTAGACATAAGTTAGCTGAGGGGGAAGAACAGTGACGACAGGAAGGCAGGGCCTCCTTCATGAGCCTTATAGTCTAGTGGAGAAGACAGATAGCAGTCAAATAATTACACCAACGAATATATATGTGCAAAACTTTAAATTGAAATAGGTTCTCTGAAACAGGAAAAAAAATCCCCATGTTTCTATGAAAGTAAATAGCCTGACCTCAATAGAATGGGGGTAAGGGAAGGTTCCCCTGAATCAGAAGAAAGAAGAGAAGGGGAGTAGAGAGGGTTATCCTGGGCAGAAAGCACAGCATATAGAGAGACCCTAGGGCAGGAGCTGAAGGAACTGAAGAGTGGTGGGTGAAGCTGGGCTCTTCAGAGCTCCTGGGACATAGTGGGCGACTCTGGGGAGGAAAGCCAGGTAGAAGATGCAGACATTCCTGGTCACACTGGAACTTTTGGCCCTTACTTCAACAGCAAAGGAAAGAAAAGGAAGGGGTGGATAAGGCGATCAGAGTACTGTTCTGGCAAGATCCCTCTGGCTACAGTGCAGACCACAGACCACAGACCACAGGGTAGAGAGCAGAAGCAGGAACCTGTGGGAGGCAGCCACTGAGGAGTCAGGGGAGTGACCATGGGGGCTAGGACTAGAGGGAAAGAAATGGACAACATTAGATAAATTTTAGAATTAAAATTTTAGAAGTAGAATTAACAGGATATGCTGATGGATTTCATGTTGGCAGTGGCAAGGACAAAAAAAGAAATCAAGATGGTTCAAGCTTTTGAACAATCAGGCAGGTGATGTTCCATTGCTGAAAGGGAAGACTAAATTTGGGAACGGGTAGGGAGTCAAAAGTTTGATTTTGGACACGTTAACTTCGTGATATTCACTAGCGTTCTTCCTATGGAAAATCAGGAACAGGAACTCTGGTAAAGTCTTCCTTCTAAATTCCAGAGGGGAGTGCTCAGGTGAGTGTAGAACTCCTACAGAGCTTAGGAAGGTTCAGAGTATCCTACTAGAGCTGAGTTGGTTATGACAGCCTTAACATTCCCAAATGTAGAGCCAGTTTCTATACTTATAAATGCACTGGGTTTTTAGATCATCAGGGAAATTTTAACTGCACATTAGGAGGATACATCACTATACGTCTTTTTTTGTTTTTGTATTGTTTTGTTTTGTTTTTAACTGCAAGGCTGTTAATACAACTAATTATCTGCATCATTAGATACTGGGCAGTTTTTCACTTCCTTAGTGGGAAAGGAGCTCACAGGAATGGTTTGTCCTCTTACTGACCCAGATGAAAATACAAAAACAGAAACAAGCCCTTCTTTACCATCATGAAGCCAGGAACTTCAAGCCAGGAACTCTGTATGTTTCCCCTACAGAGCATTGCTTGAATCTTCCCAGCCCTCTCCTACAGTAAAATAAAAAATCATTTAAAAAGAACCTACTAATTACAGCCTTTTCTCTCTACTTTTCTCTTTGCAGCTGAGGTCAGGCCTACATTCATTCTGTCCTATTCGAGTCTGCATTGCTTAGAAATTTTCAGTCTTTGACTCAATTATTCATATTATGAGTTTATGACTTAGAAAAATTATCAGACATGTAGGAAAAGTTTTATTTGCAAGACTATTTCCCTCAGTGTTATTTACTGTAAAGACTCTAAAAGTCCAGCAATAGTAAAAGATTAAACAAACTATCTACAGTCACACATGGACTAGCAGGCAGTTGTTACGTTGCTTAGGAAGTATTTTTTACCAATTCAGGAAAATATGTGGGCAAATGAGATAAAATAGGATGCACACTTGATTATATAGTTGTACCATGAAGACGACATAAAAAAAGAACAAGACTGCATAGAAGAAAGACTAAAAGAAAAGATACCGAAATGGCAACACAGTGGTTATCACTAAGTGAGAGGCTCCAGGTGATTGCTTTACTTTCTCTGCATTTTCAAAATTCTTCATAATAAGCATATGTTACTTGGATTTGGGGTAAAAGACTAATATGCTTTCCGCCTTGTTTTATCACTGGTGATTCTTACTTCCTTACAGAATTGTAAGTCCTCCTGAGTTTCCTGTGTCTTTTGGTCCCTGTTTTCTGGATAGCTGGTCTTGGTGGAATGTGTTATGCCTGTCCTACTAGTCACTAGACCCAAGAAGTGTAGCATTCAGCTTTCCAACCCATATCTAAGCATCTTTCTTGCTCCCTTATCATGAAAGAAGGCACTGGGTTAGAAAGGACTGAGCCACTGGGCTGGTATAGGCATGCAAGGAAGGTGAACTGGCAAGGCAGGCTGAATGAAGGAATGTGTGGACTTCATTTTGTCAGAAAGGAGAAGCCATGTCAAGTTTCAGGGCAGAAGACAGAGACCACTTTAATAGTCAGGTTGAAAATGATGTGAGAGAGGTGGAGAAAGGCCTCATAGGAGGCTGCTACAGTGGCCTGAGAAGATGAGGATCTGGATTATTGGGGTACAGTAGGGATAGGGCACTGGGAGACAGCTAAGAGACAAGATTGACAAGGCTTGGAAGTACATACACATTTGGTATGTACAAATTTGGGAGCCTGCCTCCCAACTGAAACCTATCTCCCAACCCCTACTCAATCCCAGGACTCCCATGACTAGGTGAAAAACAAGTGATGAGGTAGAATTGGTTGTCCTCAATCATGAAGGAACTATGGTATATTTAATTCCAGAAAGATTCTCAAAATCAGGAATCTGTGTACACACCAATTCAACAACAAGGCAAATCAATAGAGGTGGCGATTAGGTATTACTATTTCCTTTTTTATGGAGGAAGAAACTGAGACCAAGAAAGGTTAATTTGTCTAAATCACAATTATAACTAGAGTTTCAACCAATGTTCTTTCCACCTTCCCAGAGTTACAGGACTCGGTGATGGTCTAGATATAAAGTTAGTAAGCAGGGAAGGAATCAAAAACAATGTTCAAGATTCTCTGCCTCAGGTTACTCACCCTGACAGGTTTGGTAGAAGAGTTTGAGCTCAGTTTGGGATGGCTGATTTTAAGGTACCTGAGAGGCATCTAGAACAGAGGACCAGTATGCTGCTGTGTATACAGTTCTGAAGTTTATAAGCAAGACTGTATTCTGAAGGTATAAATTTGGGACCCTTCAGATGGTAAGATGACACTGAAGCTATTGGTATAGTTAAGATTGTCTGGAAAGAGTGAAATGTCAGGAAATGGGGATCATGAGTGTATACAACTCTTTTAGCAAATTAGACAGTGGTGGAGAAGAGGCAAGATTAATGAAATGGAATGGGCTAGAATAGAGGGAGGTGGTACTGAAGGGGAATGCATTTGAAGATGACAGACATCTGTTTAAAGGCTGACAAGGAGGCACAATGGAGGGAAAGGTGGAAAACATAAGAAAGATAGAGATAACTGAAGAGTCGAGGTCTCTGAGATGACAAGGTGCTGGAATCCAACACACAAGTAGAAGGCCCTTTCATTACTGAAGGAAGAGGGAAGGAAAGGAAGGGATGCAGACAGATCACATGAGTAGAAACTACTTTTGTTACTGCAGGAGGAGGGAAGGATTGGGCAGGGGGTATTTGGAATATCCTAATATGATTTTTGTGCTTCCCTGAAAATTAGAAGGACAAACTATCTGCAAGAAATAGGAAATCTGGTGAAAGAAGGAGTGAAGTTTGAGGAAAGTTGATGAAGGAAAGTTTGAAACTGCTTCTTTGAGGTATAGGAAAAATAGTTGACCAGAAAAGGGCATAATGATTGCTGGAGGCATTAGGGCCCTACTGAGGCCACAGGATGTTACCATAACACCCACCTGTCCCATTGTTACTTTTTTCTAGCAACCTAGATATTAGCATGAAGAAAGTTAGGTTGGTCCAAAGCTGACTATTTTCCAAGAAGGTTTGAGGAAAGAATAATAGGTTAAGAGAGTGGAGATATGATAACAGATGGACCAGGGAATCTAAGGGGGGACAGGAAGGAAATACAAAAGAAAGGGGCTGAGTGGGGTGGGGTTGTGGGATTGGCAGTAGTGGAAATCTGCCTGGGGAAGTGGGGGCATACCTCATTAACAAGGGTACCTGCATAATGAACATTTTCATGCCTAACCCTGAATTGTATCCCAAATCTTTAAAATGAAAAAAAAAAAAATTAAAAGAAAGAAGAAAGAAAGAAAGAAAGGGGCTGATGGGGAAAAAAAAAAAAAAAACCCAGAAAGTTCTGGGTGGCAGATAGCTTGTATGGAGTTAATATTTACTGAGCAAGTCTTCTGTCCTAAGCATCATGCATCTGTGGTCTTACTTAATCCTTACAACAGTCCAGCAAGGTCAATTCCTATCCCTATGTTACAGAGGAGTTTAAGGATTTGGCCCACATTAGTAAGCAAGTGGCAGAACTAAAGTGTATAGCCCATGTTGCAAACCACTGGGCTAAACTGGCCTCCTAGGTGTGTATGTGAGGTCAAGGAGACAAGCTGTAGAAGTCATTGGGTAAGGGAGTTGGAGGGACTGAGGTTGTGGTCAGAGAGCAGGCTGTGTGACTGACCTTGAAGACAGCCTGTCAAACACAAGATCCAAGGAGAATCAAGAAATAGAGAGTCGAAGGTAGGGGTGGGAGATCTTCCACGAGGGGTCTGAAATTAACCCAGGATATCTCCCAGATAAAGCAAAATCTGTCCCTACAGGTGTGTAGGTGCTTACTATGTTCAAGGTTCAATACATGAATGAATGATTTCCATTGGTCCCTGTAACAGACATGGATGTATACCTAGCAGGCAT